CTATTCTATTTACCTGAATCCAAGCTTACTTTGAATTTAAATGGCCCCCTCCCACCCAATATTTAGATCTGATACATGAAAAATTATAAACGTGTTATACTTTTCCATTTTTGAATTGAATTAGTGGAAGGGCATCTTAAATTCATCCACCCACTGCTGTGGTGGGGAAACCAGCAGCAGGTGAAGGGCTAGACCCATGCCCTTTGCCCTCCCTGCCTGCTTCCCTGCGCATGTGCCTGCCTCGCCACCATGTGCTCACCTGCTGCCATGTGCCTGACTTCTGCCACCTGTCCCTCCGCATGTCTTCCTCCTTTCCCCCAGATGCTTAGCTTCTGCTTCAGCTCTGCTTTGGCTCAGGGGCAGTCAGCAGTAGCAGTAGACCCAGACCAGCTTGGCCAGAGAGAAGCAGCAGTAGTTCCCAGCCAGACCCAGCAGGATGTGCTTATTAGGGAGGAGTTCCCCCTGCCTCGTTGCTCCTGACCAGCAAGGGAGCCAGCAGGGAGTTGATAACATAGCATTTAGCACCCCATCAAGAAAACAAAAGCCTCTCTTATCAGTCCAAGCTCTTAAACAACTTTTTCCAGGGAAGGAATGGAGGGACATTACCAGCTGACCTATTGATTAGTTCCAAAAAGCCCTAAGAGGACACTATCCTGTCTGCCTTACACAGACACCTTCAAGCATCAGGTAGCATACCACATGCTGGCTACGGGCCATGGGGGGAGGAGGGGGAATCCCTGTTTGACCTACGTGTGTGGGGTGGGGGTGGGGCAGGGGGAGGCCAAGCAGACATTGCTGTACCTGCAGTCTTGCTGGAGCTTCAGCCAGGGACCAAAGGGGTGGGGCCAGTCCAGCTCTCTGGAGCAGAGATCCCTGCCCAGGGCTGCAAAACTCCGGGGATCTCTGGTTTAAGTTAAACCAGGAAGGGGTCTGAGACTGTCATTGCATACACCAGTTTGACCCAGATCAGTTAAGTCTGATACTACATTCAGCCAGGTTTATCTCAAACCGGTTTCAGCCATTTTCAGAATGGTTTATGTGCACTGAACGTCTGTTCTGTTACATGTTTAAACCAGTTTCTGATCACTTAAACCAGTTTATGTGTAATGACTCCCTAGCCCTTGATTGTCTTCAGTGGCACATTCTTCTAGCTGTAGCACAATCCACAAGTCTGAAATAGCCCAAAGGCTTTTATAAAAATAAAGCACCTGTACCTCTCATACAACTACTTTATGACAATTTTTGACATAAATTCAACCACAAACTGCAGTACTAGGGGAAACAGAAAATTCACAGAACAAGAAACCCATCCTGGAATGATTAAAACAATGAGAGCTAAGCTCAACAAGAGGATAACACAACTAATACAAAGAGCAATGGCAGAAATATCTGGTAGCTATATCAGAACATTAACCCAAGTTTATTTTTATCTTGTCCCCTTAGGCCAGGTACAGACATTATGCTTTTATTGGTATAAGTGATCGGAAACCAGTCTATACCCTTAACAGAACAGAAGTTTGGCACACAAAACCAGCCTATGCCCAAAACAGAAGTTCAGTACACACAGACTGGTTTAAAAATGGTGGAACCCAGTCTAAGATTTGCCCTCCCCCCCCCACACCAAAGGGCAAATATGTGGTCTGTTTGCTACCAATCTAAACTATACTGCTTACAGAAAACAGTGTAACTTAGATTGATTCTGCCTCGGGCTTTTTGGATGTCTGTAACTAGCCTTAAGGTTTATATTAATTCCTCATCTAACTAAGCCTCATGCTTGCTACAAGGGAAGTATGGGACTGGGAAAGAGGCACCCATGAGAAGATATGAAAAGATTTGAAAACTGCTGCTTTGCAAAGCACTGCAAATATTACTACCCTTCACTAGCAACATTAAGTCCACAATTAGTGAGTTTCCGGCTGGACATTATTGAAGGTGGCCATTCTCATGCAAGGAAAACAGTAGAGAATTTGAGTATTCTTGGGGCCCCTGGGAGTCCTCTTAAGGCTATCTGTATGGCAAGAAAGTGTTTCTAAGAAACTGATCAAAGCCTCTCAGCTCCAATAGCACATCTGAATGTCTCGTTTTGGATTTTAAAATGGATATGTGAATATTTGTTAAAGAATTTTGTGCAGATTGTTATCTTCTAAAGAACATGGCTGCTTATAATTCATTTAAAGATCTGAACATAAAAAGCTTTGTGTCCTCCAAGCTTTGTTAAATTAAACCAGAGATTCTTCTGGATAAGTATTTCAAACAGGTTTTTTTTCCCCTAAAGTGCAAAGTCTCTCTATTAAAGTAAAAACAAACAGGCAGTACAAATTAGCCTCGTCAAATTGCAGGCCTTTTTTATTCTAACTCAATTACAAGATGGGTGCAACGAGAAATCACCCTGAGTCAGATATTAGAATCTGTAACAAACCATGGGGAAAAAATATTCTCTGAATACTAAATGTGTTTTCCTGTTTTTTCAAATCTTCCAGAAATATTCAGAATATTTTATCTTTCTCTTTTTGAGCCATATTTTTCCTGACATCCTTGCAGCATTGTATTCTTTCAGCTGGTTGGTATTTGACTCACAGGGTCATTCTGAGTTAAATTGGCTTTTGGAAAGTATTGTAGATACCAGAGATTCACAGTCATGTGAATCTTTGATACTATGTATTCCCTCACAGCTATGAATACATTCAGTTTACAACTGAGAATGGATCATGAGAATGAATAACTCCTTCCTTTATAAGCCTGGTATTCTTAGGCTATCTTGGTGGGGTTAATCTAGCTCACTAGTGTGAGAAGATCATCACTGTTACATGAAAGCAAAGTGAAAATGTGCAACATAATCTTCAAATGTGTATACATCTGAAGTGTTGTCTGAACTGACTCACTTTAGTCATGCATCTCAATCTCACTTTTTATCAGCTTTTTAAATATATTCATTTAATATTTGCAGAAGTTTTCCATCCAGTAACAGAGACTGGAATTAACCTCATTGTAGATTTGTTTTGATCTTTTTCAAAGATGTGAGCTTCCAAATATTAACACAGAGCCAAAATAACTTTATTTCTATGTTTGTTAAAGTGAGTGTTAGAAATCCTGTTCTAAAACAGAGAAAATATTTTTGCTTTATTGACATCTGTATAGAAAACAATTCCACCAGTACCAAGAATTTATACATTCTTTTTCTTCCCTTGCTACTTATTCTGCCTTTGAGGATGTTAACTGTAAGCAAGCAAATTTTATTTTGGATAATATAATGGTCAAATGCTTATTCTGGTCAGCTGTATTTCCTGCCACGTGATGGTATAATCAGTGAAAGTTTGCAACGTATTAGTCCAGTTCATGACTTCTCTCTCTCGCTCGCTCAAACTCAACTATTCCTTATACTGGAATACCAGTAATACCAGTAGGTAAACTTTTCAGCATGTTCTGTGTAAAGGAAGCAATAAGATGAGCCAGGGAACATCTCTGTTAAAAAGAGATCTTTGACCTGAAACTCAAATAGTGTCTAGTCTAGTCAAATATGCTATTTAGTCTAATGTCAGTCTATGTGGAAATATTTAGCTAAACTAACCAGACTAGCTTCTTGTGCTATTCTGACCATACTTACTCCTCACTAGCAGAAGTTTCGATTTTGTAATCTCTAGCTTCCTCCCCCTAAACTACATCATCATTTTAGGCTCCCTTGCAATATACCCCACCCTACTGCTGTGCTTTCGGTAAGCAGCATATTCATTCTTGGCAGGAAATGCTGTGCATCGGAAGGGTGTACAACCTTCAAGTAACTGATGTCAGCAACAGAAGTCTGCCTTGCTATTCACCTGTGGCAGAGGAATAAGAGAAAGTAACTGATAAGCAAAAAAAAATCATTAAAAGGGAGTGTAGGAGAGAACCAATTGTACAAATACAACTAGTAAAATGTTACAGCTGTAGGAATCTTTCTAAAGATACAGTATCTAACAGTGCTTTTTCCATGACACTATGAGTGATGTATGTTAATGGAATGGTTCTATAGCAAGAAGACTTCTTTTCCTTCTCCTCCACCCCGAAGAGTTTCTAAATCAACACTTATTTTTGATGGTTAGAGAGCAATGTTTACAACAGAAAATAGCTTAAGAGGTGGACAGTCCACACTGGAACTTCACCCCATCCCTATGATTCATAGATGTAAAGCCTTACATCTAGAGCACCCCACCCCCCACTCTGCTCCCTCCCTTTTGCCAGGCCCAGCCAAAACATCTGCAAAGGAAGGGGAAAGCTGAGCTAGGACTGACCAGCCAGTACTCCTGCAGTTTGTCACAGGGTCACTTTTTTGGAAACTGGTCAAAACAAGCAGTGACCCAGCTTGGAAGGTGGTGGGACCAGAGAGAAATATAGTATCTCAAAGGGTTGGGGAGCTGTATCTGGATTAAGCAGCACTTACACTTGAAATGGCTTTTTTTTCAAATTAATTTCCCTGATAAGCTTAAACAAAAGAGCCTATTCCTATTTTCTGCAATTTAGAAAATAATTCCCTTTTGCTGCAAATGGAGAATTGATAAATGAGACTGAGTATGAGTTGGAATTAAAATTTTTCTAGAAATCCATTTCAGGTTTTACACCTTCCTTTTCATTAAGAAATATGTAACAGTGTTCAAAGACCATTACAAACATTTCCTGCAGAATAAAGTACCAATCAGGCTGAAAACAAATCTAGTCAAGAACTATATTGAATCATTCTACCTTGGCTTATACTAGATGAAACTTTTCCAGTAGATGGCCTCCATTTACATGGGCAATTTGTACCCGTGCCATTTGTTACCATAAATAAGGTCATTTGAGCCTGCAACTACTTGGTTGTAGGTACAAATCAGAGGCATGAAATACCCACATTTCTACTCACAACTCATGGGCAGAAAACACTCACCCCCAAAAGGGAGGCTAGGTCTTGTTCCATCTGAAAATGTAAGCCAAAATTACATTTCATACATCTTGTGACTGACTGCCCCTTATCCTTTTATTTTTAGGATGTAGAGAATTGATTTTCAGACACAGATAACAGAAAAGACTTTTGCATCTTCCCTACAATACTCGGGACCTGAGCCCAAGGCATTGTTTCTCCAAAAGTCATCTACATTAAAGGTATCACGTTGGGTGAAGTTATACATCACACTTAGACCATACTGACACCATGGAGTGTGAAGCAGTGTTAAAGTTAGAATGTGCTGTGAGCAGTCACACATTAAGCACTAATACCATTTCTTGTTTGAACAGTTCAACCGGCCACTAGAGGGCTGGTAAGCAGAGGGTGTGAGCCAGGACACTATCCCCGCTCTACCCCTGCTTGGGGTGCAGCGGAAGCTGAAGCAGTGCATTCTGGGATGCTGGAGGACTACAAATTGCTTGTTCTGTCTCCATAGAGCAGGCTGAAATTACCCTAATACAAACTAGGTAGCATGGCCCAGAGTTAACTCTTGCCTGAAGTGGTGTAACTTTGAGGTGCTCAGATGGCACTTTGCATGAGTTAACAAATTTTAACATGTAGAGGCTGGTATTTTAAGTGACCTTAGTATGCTGTACATTAGGGGTGGACAGTTATTTGGGCTGGCGGACCACTTAACGAGTTTCAGTGAATTGTTGAGGGCTGGGGAGCAGGGTGTGGGGCACTCACATGGGATAGGCCATGATACAGTACACTGGACACATCTACACAAGACGCTTACTGCGCATTAGCCTAATAACACTGCACAGTAGCGTGGTGGTTAAAAACAGTGCTAATAGCCTATTGTGCCATGCTATTAAGCTAATGCACAGTAAATGCCATGAAAAATCCATGCACTGGCACTAGTTACGCTAGCACTTTATTAAGCAAGTATTCAATTAAATGTGCAGAACCTACAGCGCATTAATGAATGTGTAGATGTGCCCACTGAGTAGCTGTCCTGCCTGCCTGCCGCAATGAGTCGCTGCTGCTGTGCTACACTGAGAAAGTCAGTGGCGGCTGCCTTGGATCGAGCCCCCACAAGCAGCCAGCGTGGACTTACCTAGCATCATTCGAATAGCAGTGACTCGTGGTGGGCAGGACTGCTACTTGGCATGCTGCATCATGCCCCATCCCATGTGGACCTGGCTGCTGGAAGCCACAGTGCCAGGACTGCATAGCCCCAACACCAATAGGAAACTGGATTGAGGGAGGGGGAGGCAGAGGAGCCTGTGCGCAAGCCCAGCCCTGGCTGCAGCAGAACAAAGTGGCACAGGGCACAGCCCTCCCTTCTCAGGCTCCCAGCAGTGGCTGGCAGCCTGGATAGGATCAATTGGCAGGCTATATTTTGCTCACCCCTGCTCTAAGAGTAACATATGACTTCACTCTTTGAGACTGAGCTTTCTTCAGCACCCCCCTTTCTGACCTGTATGCAATGCAACAGATACTCAGAGCCCCTCATGTCACAGAATCATAGAAGTAGGGTCGGAAGGGACCTTGTAGATCTGCAAGTCTGACCCCCTGCCTGGGCAGGAGAAAAACTGGGCTCAAA